CCCCACACCATTACAGCACCTTTACCAGCCTGGAATGTTGACACAAGGCAGATTGGATGGTTAGATTCATGCTGTTGGCACCAAATTCTGACCCTACCATGTGTGTGCCACAGCAGAAATTGAGATTCATCACACCAGGCTGCGTTTTTCCAGTCTTCAGCTGTCCAGTTTTGGTGAGCATGTGCCCACTGCAGCCTCAACATTCTGTTCTTGGCTGACAGAAGCGGAACTAGACATGGTCTTCTGCTGTTGTAGCCCATCCACCTCAAGCTTTCGACTTGTGCATGGTCAAAATTACTGAGATCACATTTTTACCCATTATGTGAACATTGCCTGACGTTGCTGGCTCTGAATGATGCACTGCACTGCTGCCTCTTTTTTGACTGATTAGTTTGTTACACAAATGATGTAACAAACTGTAATGTAGTAGATGTACCAGTGATCCTAATAAAGTGCTTGGTGAGTGTATTTAAGCAGTATACTGTGGTTACTGTGGTTAACACTTAATGAACATTGTCTACTCTTTAACATGCCAGCTAGCTGCCTGACGGCAAACAAAGAAGAAGAGTGGGAAAAGTGATTCTGCCCCTGCTCTCTGACATAGCAGAAGTTCTGTCTTATGATTCCAGCTAAGTACAAAGAGAAACAAGTTGCACAGGAAATGTATACAATCATCTCAATTCTCAGTCATTTCTAATTTCACGTAGTTGTAAATTGCAGTTAGAACTTACTTAGAGAGACAGCAGGACAACAGATCAATAACTTGTTGTAGTAGTTTTATATAGAAGTTATTAAAGCATGATGCATTAATTAATTTCTCTTGTACATTTAACGTAAGTCTTATTTTTGGTATATCATGATAATAAGAGACATTATGTAACTACCCCAAACAGCTTTTGATTGCACAGAAAAAACGATAAAATCTGCAACACACTTACTGCAGCAATACTTCTGTTTGATCTGAATTTAAGAAGATGATGTTTCTGGTCATCTAGAATTTAATTTCTTCAACACAATCTCCTATTTTGTGTAACTATGTCACTGATACTGGTGTATCAACCAGTTTTTCACTGCAGCCACATACACTGGCGTGCCAAAAGTCACAGGACAGGAACTAATATCGTACAGGACCCCCTCTAGCTGCATAGTGCAGCAACTCGACATAGCATCAATTCCACAAGTGAACGGAAGACGTCTGGAGGGATGTTGAGCCATGCCATCTGAGTAGCCACCCACAGCTCTGGGGTATTTGTAGGTGTGAATAGACCACTCAACCACATCCCAAAAAGCTTGACTGGGCTCAGGTCAGGTGAATGTGCAGGCCACGCCATTTGTCAGAACTCCAGAATGCACCTTGAACCAATTCTGGACAACTTGAGCCCAGTGGCACAGTGCATTATCCTGCTGGAATATTCCATCATTGTGTGGGTACATAAAGTCATGCCACTGCCTGCACAGTGCCTTATTGAGAAGCGGGGTCCATGGCTTCATGGGGTCTGTACCACACACAAACCCTACCATCAGCCTCAAACAATTCTCATTGGACCATGGCAGATGTTGCGAGTCCTCTAAGGTCCAGTCAGCAACCTCATGTGCCCAGGTGAGGTGCTGTGTCTGGTGTTGTGGTGCTAACAGAGGCACTGTGGTGGGTCTTCTGCTCCCATATCCCATGGAGGCTAAAGAAGCCACTGCACTGTCCAGTGTGGGTGCTAATGCCTTCTATAACGTATTCCTAGTACACATGTGACAATGTGGATTGAGAAATGTTGAATGCCCACACAATTTCAGAAATAGAATGTCCCATCTGTCTGGCACCCACTATCATGCCTCATTCAAACTCATTCAAACATAATCCAGGTTGCCTTGTCATGAGCTCGCTGACCAGTGTTCATCCTCACTCACACTCTACAAAGGTGTGGGAGTTCCCAAGCTGTCCCCTGTGGTAACACAAGTTCATAATCAATTTACAAGCTGCTGTAATATCTTATTACCCAAGCCTCCCAACGGGTCACTCATTCTGAGTCGTCTGTCTGATACATGATAAAGAAAAGCACTAATTTTTAATCTGGTGAATGGAGGTTTTTGAGACTTGGTTCTGCTTGTGAAATGAACTGTCACTATGTAACCAAAGTGCTGACAGGGGGCAGCACATTCTACAAATTACGTCTGTTGCAATACATATTATAGCCAGCAGATGGAAGACTAGCCTTGATTTTTTCAGGGTCCGCTGAAGGGTCCCCAGTCAGCTTTTCATAAACCCTGTTGGTGCAGATGTTTTTCTGGATAATAGTTGTGATACTGCATCTTCTGTGCTCTGTCAAAACAATGTTTTTATCATAATGTGACCTTCTCTGTGCTAAATAGAAAAACCTAATTTATATTTTTCTCTGTATCATATGCAGGTAAATGTACAATGTGACTGTCACCAAAATCGGGCAAAATACATTGAAAATGTAATGAAGGCTGAATACTGAATACAACACTTTAAAAGTAATCAGTAATGAATTCTATTACAACATTTAAAAAAGTAATTAAAATGTAAATGGTTGACTTTATGTAAGATCACTGACGCCACCTCACTCTGCTGAACTAAGCAAATGTGGGACACTTTTTTAAATGCAGCAGGAGATTAACATGAATGCTATTTAACCGTATTTTTTCTGTGTTTCTGTCAGTTGTCACAAGCTTCCTAATTGTAAATGTGTTAAAATTGTATTGAACATAGTTCTTCATTTATAGATTACCAATTTAAGGGTTCTTTCTACAAGCTTTAGATTACGCGGAGGTCCTTTACTTTTTCCTTTAGAAAAAAGTTCTTCACATCTCATTTATGAAAAATGGTTATCTAAAGAACCATCTATTAAAAGGTTCTTTGGGAAACCAAAGGTGACTCTTCTGTGGCATCATACAAAGAATCTTTGTTGGTGACATTTTTTAAGAGTAATGCTACTACTACTGAGGAGATTGTTCAATCTGATCATCCCTCAAAACGGCTGTATGTTGTATATTGATTTATCAGTATACTCATGCTTTAGCTAGTTGTTGGCTTCCTCTTTAGACTCCATCTAATAAATGTGTTAGCTACTTTGAATTTTTGTTTTTTTTTGTGTGTGTATAAGAACTGTAAAGATAAAACTATATTTTCAAAATGTAACTTAAATGTAATTTTTGTATTCTAAATTTGATATTCTCTGTCAAACCATATTTGAAAATCTGCTCATCTGCTGGGTACTTTAGCCTGCCGAACAAATAGTAGTAAGGTGACCCAGGTCCTTTGGCTAGATGACATAGTAACCTGCATAGATAACATCATGAACTGGAAGTCCAGGTGGCCTTTGGCTCTGGGCAACCTGGTTGGTATGGCAGCACATGAATGATGCAGTGACCAAATCCCAGAGACAGAGCTGACCTCTGCCTTTTAGCCACATAATCCACCACTGCTTCTGTTCAGTTCTTGCTGCCTTTGACTTCTACAGTTAGCTTTTGAAGCACTTAACAGTTCATTTGGGTTCAAGAGCTAAGATATAAAATATATAAAATGAGCAAAGTAGACCTACATAATTTAGAACCCATATTAATAATATAGACCTGGTGAATACAGCGACAGTATTATTATACTCCTGGTGTTCATTAAATATATTTAGAATGATGTTTATTTGTATGCTTAGCAATGCAGTAAGAGATAAAGACAATTCAGAATGTGTTCAAAATGAGCAAATCAAATAATTTGTTCCTCTGGAATTTGTGCTATATATCTTCACTGACAGGAGAAAACCATGTATGTCCATTTTTAATCATTTTTTTATTTTTGGATGTAATTTAATAATTCTAACTGCCCTTTACATTTTGTCAAAATTTCATGATAAATGGATCAATGAAAAGGGTTAAAATGACTTCTAATGCATTATTGCTGTAGTAATGTCTGTTAAATTAAGAATATTTTTTCTTATGATGTGAAATGACCATTTTAGAGGTATGAGGTTTTGTGCTGACAGTGCCAAAATGAGTAAAGTGAGAAATGTGAACTATACTTTCACCTTCTGTAGTGTGGTTGTGTGATATTTTGGTCCCCACTTTATTTGGATGGCCCCCTTTAGATGATCTACATATAGATGGTTAATTGTCTCCTAACAAACAATTGGGTGAAATGTAGCTGATTCTTATCAGCATTGGGGTTAAGGTTAGGATTCGCCCCAGAGTCAGGTTTGAGACCAAGATTGGCGTTAGATTTAGGTTCTGAGTTGAGGTTAAGGTTAGGATTAGGATTAGGTTTTGGGTTGAGGTTAATGTTAGAGTTAGGGTTATGGTTAGGGTTAAGAAAAATTAAGGTGAATTTGATATATTCGAATAGAAGACATAGACAAGGTAAATATCTAAAAAGCACCTATAGTTGTCTGTCCAAATAAGATGTTACCAATATTTTGTATCATGTCTCATTCTGACTCAGGTCCTAAAAACAAGACGAGACCTTGGTCCCACCCACCAAATAAGCCTCATGCAAAACTTTGAGTATAGTTAAGCTGATGAGATAGGATACTCCAAGCAGATTCTACAGTTGGCCCTTGTGTTGTTAGATCAGGGGATCCAGGCTATCCTGATGTGTACAGGAAGACAATACAATGTATAAGACATTTATTTCATTTTCTCTACAAGTAATTCCACTTTTATTTCACCTTTTGTGCACATTTGCTTCGTTGTTTAATTAATAGTCTCTGTGCTACCATCATGTTCTGTCGTGGCTTGTATATGGTGTAGACTGAAAATGTATCTAACTACAAATAAACAGTCCATACCTTGTGTTTTTGGCTGCACTAGTAAATCAGTGAACATGTCTGAGGAGGGATGCTGACTTGAAGTATTGCAGCAGAGGTCTTATAAATAACTCTGGTCTCTGGTTACTGCAGCTGTCACCGTGGATAATTCCTGCTCCTTGCGCCTCTATGAGCGAGCTTGGTAAAAACCTAGCACAGCTCAGTGAACTCTTACCAGTCAAGGCATTTATCTTGGGCTAGAGCAGAACAAACTTATTTCTTAAGAAAGAAAAAAAGGACCATTAACTTCCAGACTTGGCAGCAGTATAGCCTAAGAATTGTAATCGCATGTACCAATCTACAATTAACAACTGAGGTAGAGTGAATATATCACTACGATGCTCAGTGAGAAAACTAAGTTGATAAACAGTTCAACCTCAAATAGCCTTCTGCTTGCTGTAAATGACCCCTCATTGTTTGCAGTTGGAGGAACTCTGCTCCTTCACATTTGAATCTTTTCCTGCATCCCTAAATTGAAGCTTAGCCTGCAATGTGACCCGGATCCTGGTCAGGGTGTGCTAAACCCCTGTGCGTCCTGGTAATTCTGGTGGAGGTCTGGCAGATGCAGGATGAGCTGCTGAATCTTTCCACTGGTTCCTGTGATCCCCCAGCCTACCAGCAGAGCCCAGCCGGCTCTTTAGATAAGCAGTGGGTGCTAACGAGGCTAAAGCAGCTGAAGCAGCCCCTTCCGTGAGGGATCTGAATTCAACGAACTGTTGGAAGCTCAAAGGTTTGTGGCTATCTACTGAAATCCCACAGGAATGGCTCCCATAAGGACACCTGCTAGTGATTCAATTAACATGAAAATACCCAACAAAACTAGCATAGTGACTGATTCCTCAATCTGGGCTGTGCTGCCTATGATTAGCATGCTAAGCTGTGAGCCACTAACTGACAAGAGATGTGCTCATTTGTTTCCAAGAGGTGTCTGGACTTGTCGCAACTAAGAAAACAAAAAGGACATCAAAGGTGGTTTTTTTAAACCTCATCCTGTGCTTTTGTGCTGTCACTCACCCAGTTTTTCCCTCACTTTAGCCAGATGTGCTTCACTGGAGCATGAGCATTGCTGTCAAGCCCTGAGTGATGGCATAAAAACAACAAAGCGTGGTAAAGAGGGCAGGTGTGTATGGTTGGAAGAGGGAGTCTGCATGTTGACCTGTGTCTGCATTTTCCTTGCGCTTTTACGTACAGTTCCTTCTATTTCAGTTTTTATCAACGTGTTCTGAAATCCATGTCCTGTATCTTTCTCTTTCTCTCTTTCTTTCACCCATCACTTCTCCCTCCATCATCTGCAGGGTAAAAAGATTCTGCACTGGTTTGTGAGCCGCTTTTGTTTCAGCGTAGGCGTGGGGGGGTGCTGTTGGCGCAGAGGGATCGTGTTTCAAACTTTCATTTCCTGAAATGTTTGAGGGAACATCCAGGGTTTTATCAGTGCCCGTTACATTCAAATGGTGGGGGTGGAAGGAAGGGCAGGACTCAAGTTACCTGGACCGTCACTCAGCTTTCAATGGACAAACAGTGCTCTCATAGCTGAGACCTGGGATCTGGTATTTGGCTCTACCCAATAAAATCTCTCACACATGTAAAAGGACAACGTATATGACTCACACGATGCATACTGTGACGATATTTAGCATACTGTGTTTTGTATTTAGCTTTATACTATATCATATATATCCATAACAATATCACACAATACTAAACATCATCTGAAATCTTCAGAGCAAAAGGATATCTGTGATGTTATGCGTTGTGTATCATGCAGTACACAGTGTCAGTGATACAGTGACTCACCGTATCTCTCCGCAGTTATCACTGCTGTGTCTCTTCCCATAATGCCCCTCTTCACTTGTTATAATCATGCATGGCTGCATCTTGGCTCTGCACAGGAAGAGCTGACAAGTCAGACAAGGGAATTCATTCATTCTAATGTAAGTTTTGGGGTGTTGATATATATTTGATTATGAACAGTGCAGCGGTTTTAATAAAGTCAGTAAAGTCAGTTCAGTACATACATATTGTCTATTTTCACTATTATGATGGTTATTATTATTATTATTATTATTATTATTATTATTTACAGTTCCCACCTGTGCATGTACAGCACTAACCTGCATAAATAAAGGGCTAAATATAAAATGATGTCCATAATCCTTAAAAAACTGCACACATCATTCTCTTATATTCAGGTGAAATTCTTCCCTCCTATCTGGATACAAATTATACAGTAAAAGACTATCCAGTAATTTACATGTTGCTTAACAGGGAGTGCTATAGGGGAGAAAAATGGAAAAATGCATGTTTCAGTACTATTCTTTAAAAATGGTAAAAGTAACAGTTTTGTACAGGTAACTGCAGTGCATTATTACACAATAAAAGACAGGAACCTCTATTGGAAGTTAGGATTTTTCTGTGCAATAAATGCTAGAAAAACTCCCCAGCTGGCAGTAGTGCTGGTGGGATTGCAGCCGTAGACCTTCTAGTACCAAGAAGGGTGAGATTATTTTATTAGATTCAGAGTGGAGCAATACCACCTTGACATTTATGCAGTTTCCAGTGCACATAGTGCAATTAGTGTGATTTCTACACTGGTCTTATTATTGTGAGACCAGTGGATCTATAGCTTCTGGCCAGTTGGGGTGGACAGTTTGACAGGTGGCAGAAATCAACACATGTTTCATTCTTGGTTATTTAGGGTTTTCCTTACATTAAGCACAAGCAGCTGTAAATACAATTATACCTTAATTGGCGAGTAATAATTTGGTAACAAACTCAGCTACTGACTGTAAGATTTACAGCATGTATATTTGTTCATGTTTGTGTGTGCTGTGTGTGTGTGTGGGGGTGGGTGTATGTGTGTGTGTGTGTGTGTGTGTGTGTGTGTGTGTGTGTGAGAGAGAGAGAGAGAAAGAGAGAGAGAGAGTCAGGTTTCCATAGTAGAGGTAGAGCAAGCCTGGTTCGAGGATGTTATCTAATTGTTTGATGGTAAAGAGTTACTCTTTAGAAGATCAACCTTGCAATGCGTTAGTTTCTGTGCATCAGTGGCTACCATTAACTGATACATAAGGATAAATAAATCTCCTCTCTCTCTCAGGAAAACATCATCTTCTAGTTTGTAACCACAACCTAAAAAAAATATTTTTCTACATCTTTTGAACACAGCAGACTGATTTATGACACTGTGTAAAAAAATTCATAATGATGGACCAACAAATTTCAGGATGAATGCTCTTCAAATTTTGAATTGAATAGAATTCTGAATTGAACTAAATTTTCTTGGAATAAAATCTTTTTACTTAACTTACATGAAAAGTTAAAAATGTTTTTGCCTTCTTTATTATTTTGGAGTGACCATTTTTTTGTTATTTATTTTATTGTTATTACAGTATAAAAACAAATTTTGCTTTGTTTTTTCATCTTGGATGTCTTGTACATTAGAATCTTACATTAAGCTTACTGTGAGCCTTGAATGTAAAAAAAAGATAGACCACTTAAAAGGGCTTCATCAAGCGTTCTTTAGCAAAAGCAATGATTATATATAGAAGCATGCATCATATTTTAAATGTTTAAATGATTTAAATATTTGCGTGGATGTATGGTATATGGTCGTATACAAAAGTTTGGGTGCCCCTGGTCAAATTACATTTTGTTTTTCTAAGTGAAAATAAGTTAGCTCCATAAATGGCCAGGGTCAACCAGCGGGTGCAATGTTTTATTACACACATCTATAGCCTAAGAATAGCACAACCAGTTTGCATTAAAGTCCCTGTAGTTACTAAATAACAAGCCTTGTTATGTAATAAGGGTTAACACATCATCTATATACTGCTACACATTTAACAGTACAATTATTGTTTACATGCAGTAAAAAACAAACAAAAAAAAAAACATGAATTGTAGCCTGCAAAAGTTATGGCACTTTTTTTTTCAATGTGTTAAATTCAGCAAATGAAAAGGATGAATAGGAATTGTGCACTAAAATTGGCAGAAAAATGTAATGTTTAAGTTTGTTTCCTGTAGAGAATGTGTTAACTTATTTTCATTTCAAACCAACTAGATAAGTCATTTTACCAGGGTGTTCAAATCTTTGCATAAGACTGTGCAGTACTTATAATGCTTTGGATCTTTAGCACCATGATAAGAGCTCTTCTCTTTTTATGTAATAGAACCTTTTTGGTACAATGTATAATGGTTGCATCTATGATGTACAGGCATATGTGAGTTTGAATGTGCCAATCTATTCTGCTGCTGCTCTAGAGTAGCTCCACGGTCATCACCCACGCATACTTGCTGCGTGAACCCAGCAAGGGGCTGACGCCAGGCAGGGCGAGAGTGAGAGCAGAGCCTGACTCTCTCCTCTCAGATGCTGCTGATGGAGAGCTCCCGGCCTGCGGGACAACTGCCTCCGCTCGTCTATCAGCCTGGCTGGGCTTTGAAACCTGAGCCTCTGTGACCGTCGTGCTGTAATCCGTTATCCAGCTCCACACTGGCGGCCATGACCAGAGAGACTGCTGGGGAAAAGCGTGTGACCCTCCAGTCCTGACCATTACGAGCGTGAAAAGAGGCCAAGCTGAAGGTGCAAAGCGTGCTCTCTTTTTCGGACACATCTCTGGGTGATGCACTGAAGGACAGCTTCTGAAATCAGTCATCATTGTGCTGAAAAGAGAGAGTGTAGATAGAGCGGCAGGTGTGCAGCCTGGCCAATTGCTTTTTGTACGTGGCTCTTTGTGGCTTGTGTTTGTTTGGGTGTGCCTGTGTGTCTGGTGTTGTGTATGTGAAGCTCATGATTGTCTGAATATGAGAAAGGTGGGCTTTAGTTCCATTAACAAACAACTTTGCTAAGTATACATTTTTAGCACCAAAGAGCACCAAATCATTTAGGAACCTTTGTTTTCAAAAGTGTAGAATGAAGTGTAACATATTGGTCCTAATTTTATAGATGTTTGTAGTCATAATAAATATATCTTCTGCATATTAGCATTTATTTATATTATTATGTGCATCTACGGTATTCATCTATATAAATGTAATTATATTGTCAATATGAGCCTACAGTCATATACAAATATTTGGGTGCCCCTGTTTTGTTGATTTTATAAGGGGTACTAAGTTAACACATCCTCTAAAGAGAACACACTTATATTTTAATTCATAATTGTTAATAAATACTGAATTTTGAATGTTTGTTTGCTGAATGTAACTCATTGGGAATAAATAAAACATGGTATGTGGCCTGTCTAAAAGTTTTGGCACAGTTTATATAGTTAATATATTAAACTCAACAAATACAGAAGGTTAGCATTAGAATTTGTGTAGGATTTATTTAGAAAACATGTCATTTGACCAGGGATGCATATGAATGTATGTGGACACACCAGAGGTGGGTGTAAACTTATACTCAAGTACAACTATTGTTGTTTCTGTGAAATGATGGCTCATATAACCTTTCCAAAAACAACCTAAGCAGAAGTCAAAAACCTACTGAGTAATTTATAGAACTGCAGCAGAACTTCTTAGTACACCCAGCATCAATCATATGAACTGAAGTTTGTTAGTGTGTTATTCTTCTCTTTTTGACATCCTTTAGGTCTAAAATAAGATGATAAACCCTAAAAGTCAGAGGTGTGACCAAAAACAGTGCTGTATAGATGCTGTCACCAACTTAACCCCTTAAAATCCCAGTCTTATTACATACTAAAGCTTATTATTTAGTAAATACAGGGGCAATGCAAACTGGTTAGGCTATTCTTAGATTATAGAACTGTGTGATAAAATTTGGCCATTTAAGGGGTCAATGAAATTTTACACAGAAGAGAAATTAGTAACTAAATGTTAAAACCTAAAATGTAATTGAATAGAAAGTGAATTCTTTTACTCATAAATGTACTTCTTCTTTCCTGAATATGATCTGAGCAAGTACAAATTAATTTTTTGCTTGACCACATGGAACTGAATAAAAGTAACTAGTTACTATTTAATATTTACCAAGTGCTTAATATAAAAGTTGTTGTTGTTTTGTAATGGATAATGCCGGTCTTGCGAATTGACAGACACTCAGCAATGCAGACGTGGTGATGACAGCATCAATCATTCCTCCTGTAAGCTGATATCATACGCTACATTGTTCTCACTCATCTGTCTTGATTCTTGTCAAGGGCATTTTAGTGCACTCTATTTAAATCACAATCTTTCATAACATATAATTGTGGTGACTTTCCCCTAATTTGCAAGTGGTCTTTTGTATCAGTTTTGATGATCAGCATGATGCTTTCTCATCAGCGTGCCTCACAGAGAGGTTAGCGTATTGGGTTGCTAAAACATACTGTAGTCAATCTGGCATTTCAGATGTCTTCTAAAGGCCAGGGCCCCTTGATGCACCTCCATGTGGAAAACTACTTTAACATACCCCTTTTAAAATGCCTAACCTATTCCCAGTGCTCTAATAACTTATAATCAGCTGGCAAACATAGCAAAGGTTAACAGTTTTAACAAAGATGCGATGACCTTAATGTTCTAAGAAGTCCTACTTGCATGTGTTTAAAAATTCAGCTGATGAAAAAAGGTTTTGTTGGTATTCATCCCCACCATGTTATGTGTCATCATGTATTTTAGTCTCCTTATGAATTGCTTATAAATATTTAATAGCATTCCACAGTTCTTGCAAACCTGCAGATATGTCAGTTCTCTGTCAGTTAGGATGTTCTTCTTGGCTCTTGGGCTGTTGTTTGTCTCAGTATTAGTCCTGAACTGGAATCTTCTGATGACTCAGTGAGTCAAACCTTGAGGCGAGGGACAATGTGAGATCAGGTGACAGAAGGTAAGGGTGTGGGTGGGGGAAGGTGGGGGGATATGAGGCCCACCTGTTCTATCCTCGCACTCTCTTCCCCCCCCCTACATTATGAGTGAAGAGAATGGGACTCATTCGTACCCCCCACCTCACCCCCACAGGGACTGCTCACATTACAGCCAAACTCTTTTCTTCCCACAGAAGAAACTCCCTATTTGTCTTATTCACATCTAGCACAG